CCCCAAAACCCCAAAACCCCAAAACCCCAAAACCCCAAAGCTAGCAAAAAGGATTGAAAAAGTCTTATGATATTAACCTAGAGATTCTCTGCATCGACGAGTAATTCTGACATCTAGCATTCAGCTGAATTTGAGGTTTTACCTTCTTATTGCTCCTATAAAACTCTATCTTAGGTCTCGGATTTCGTCCTTTTCTGATATACTTAAAGCCATTGGGTGCGAATCGGTTGACCATAAGTATGATATCCTGTTTGGGGTCATATCACCCTTCCTCAAGCGTCTCATTAGCTTTTTCAAATCTTTTAGTCTCATACATCTGTTTAAAATGTCTTTTCCTCTTGACTAATTCTCAGCTGTAATTCTGCTTTTGTCTCTAGAAATAAACAGGCAGGCTTACAGCTTCACAGATTTTGAGAATGTTCTTGAATTTGTCAATTGGTTTGAAAGAAGATTTTTCTTTTGAAGTCGAACTGAATTCTTTCAACTTCCTTTCTTTGGAAGAGACTCAGATGTTGGTAATGTTAGCTATGTTGGATGAGGCTAGGCTGGGGTTATAAAGAAATTCTGCCACATTTTAAAGCCTGTTTTCTTTGTTTTCTCTTAATTTTTTTCAACACAAACTTGCTACTAACTAAACTAGTTTATCTGGCCCTAATATTGCTCCCACTAATTCATACACTTATTGGACTCATCATTTCTAAATATATTACATCTGTGATTACTTAGTTGGCGGCTTGAAAGAAGCCATGTAGCTTGACTCCTTATTAGGAGAGAATCTCTTCTTCCAATAATCCTTGTTGAACAGCTTGAGACCCTTCCTGATTTCAGTCTTTTCCATGAGCTTTTTCTTAACTATATTTAATAACGATGAGGATTTGGCTATCAGGCTGACAGATTCTTCGGTAATTTATACATCAGAGAGTTATTTGAGGTGATAATTTAGAAATAGATTCCTTACTAAAACTTGAGCTAGCAGTCATCATGAGCTTTCTCTGCTCACTGTGCGCATGCTCAACGCTAGAAGATCTCTGGGTTGTCTTAAGTCTTTTCTTCAAGCCCTGGGCTCTAAATTCTCAAACCAGATTTTATACCTCAGTACATTCAGATGAAATGCGCTATTTAGAATTTTCTTGTCCTTCCGAGCCCCAGTGATAGGATTTACTTTAAAAGAGTAGTTATAAACCGAGCTGGGAGAGAGGCTATAGATCACTTTTCTGACCTACCTGGCGTCAGTATTTAGGATGCTCATTTTATTTTTTAAAATAATCTTATTTTGGGGTTTTGGGGTTTTGGGGTTTTGGGGTTTTGGGG